TACCGCTCATGTAAGCTTTGAGGTTGTCATGGAGACTGAATACAACAGACTTCTCAGGCGATCAGCGACATGAGAATGGCGTTGTAACACCATTCTCACACTGCTGATCACCTGAGAAGACTTCACTACATTACTGAACATCTGACACATAAACCATTTCAAATCGAATCACATTAATTATAATGCAGGAACAACGGTCTTTGCTGCGGAATTGATGAAAACCACACAGAAGCCTTATTGACAGATTCACTGTTGAGTGAAGAAAATCTCTCATTATACTCACAAATTTGTCACAGCTTTGAAGTTGAGTCCAACATATGGCAGCATTGAAAATGGTATGGTTGTATTGACCTTGCCATGCATGTTGGCAAAACTGTTGTAATCTATGTTACCACCAGTGATAAAATGGCTTGCAGGACAAAAGAGCATACCCCTGCAAAAAAAAAAATAAAGCAAGGGAAAGTTTAATGAGAGTTACAGAATTTAAGATTTACACAGAATTGTGAGTTTAGTTTATGGAGTATTGTGTTGTTTAACCTCATAATCATATGAACGTTCAGGAGATGAATCTGGAAGGGTGGAACCTCTCTGGCCAAAAGAAGGTCCCTGAGACTTTGGGGGTAGAGATTGGAATCATTTTGCAGCATATTTAATTAATACTCACATCCATGTACACACATACATACATGCCCACGTACAATTTAAATAACAACTTAAACCGTATGTTAGCATGGAGTCATACTGTACTACTTATGACAAAAGCAGAAAAACTTACTTTATTTTATGATAAACATCAGAACCGTCGTAAAACATCTGTGCTACCAAAGTAGCTTCTTCATATTTTGGCGTGTTTAAAATGTACATTAAATCAATCAATCTGTCTCCACGACTCACTTGCAGGATATTGGTAATTGATTTATAGTTGATATTTCCCCATCTAAATGTCAGATTTCCATCAATTGTATCTGACATTACTCTAAACTGTAACAAACGGTTAATGCCAGTTTATAATCAGTATACGCCTAACGCTTATAAAATTAGACATACTCTTGATTATAAATATACTATAATACTTCAGGGGCATTCATATTAATGCATGGTATAAAAAGAGGAATACAGTCCAGAAACAGCTTGGGGAACAATTAGTATGGAATTTTACTATTCTAGCTAATGAAGAGAATACATCTGCATGTAGTATTACACGCAGTGCATCTAAGACAAATAAAGTGAATGCAGGATTCTCGTCTGACAAGATAAACAAGAGCTGTAGTATATGAATATAATAAACATAAACACTTTTTCATGTCAACAAGGTGTCCTCAAATAATGAAGGCCAAAAATGTCAAAAAATCTGCGTATGTCATTTCTTGCAATGACACACCTAGCTGAAGGACTGATCATGCTGGAAGCACAGATTTCTTTTATTTGCCTTGTAGGCACATGGACACCAACAGCGTTCACGGCAGAACGACACTTACTTTTGCCTTTGAAAACATTAAAAAGAAATAAAGCATCAAGATGTCTTTGCCTGGAATAAAGTATTCTAAAATTTGAACAATTTAAAATTAAATCATAATTACATGAAACACCAAACTAAGAAAAGACAATAATATGAATAAAGCGGCATATTGTCTTTGTACATTTTCTATTTTATTGGACTCAATGAATGTAAGTCCATATGACAGAGGCATATTCTAGCTTTGACCAATTATGGCAACATATAAAGCAACTAAACTGTCTAAAGATGATGAATTACGAGCAATAAAATGTGTAGGACTAATGTCTTCAGTGCCTGAGAATGTATAAATTCACACTGCAATAAAATGCAATTTGTAGTCATACATAACACCAAGATCTTTTATACAGTCAGACTGTAAAAGTAAGACATTTCTGACACTGTAATTAAAATGGATACTCTTGGTCTTACATGTAAATGGTCTGACTGCAGTTTTCTGTATGCTGAGCCACCTACAGTTTTCACCATGTTATTGGTGCATCAAATCAATATCAGTTCGCACAGCTTTACAGTCTTCAGCAGACATCATGTCTCGATAAATTTTCAGACAACCAGGAAATAAGATTAATATAAATGATTAATTTCAGTAGAAAGGTCTTTAATAATAATGTTAAACAAAAGAGGTCTGTCTAACGGTGGAGGTCTGTGATACTCCCAACCCTACATGAAAAGGGAGGAGAAAATTTTCCAAAGATATAAATGAAGATCTATTTGATAATTAGCTTTGGAACCAATTAACGTAAATTGGCTTTAAGGCCACTGCTCATGTCAACTGTGCAAAAGCTGTGCATGTGTAAACATGGCATGTTCACAAGCAGAATGTGTGTTCATTCTTAAACATCATTTTGCATTGAAATTTTATGCTGCTGTTCATGAAGCATCTAGCAAGCGTATCCAGACAAGGAAATACGAACAAGACAACAATATACTGACTACTGCCAAAGTTCAAGACACAGGAAGTGTTTGTCTGTGACTGATGAAACTGCTGAAATTATAGCTTTACTGATTTTAAGCAGTGCAACAGGTGCAACAACAGGATGCATCTGCAAGAATTCAATTCTGCCATCTGTTTTGCTATTCTGTGTGTAAGGAGTTCATGTAATAAACAGAGTTCAGTTTTAAATCGAATGCCCGTACAAGTATTATAGACTTGCAAATTTTAAACTAATATATTATGTTAACAACTCGTCATAATCCTCAAGTCAGTGATGTGGAATCTCCTTCTTTATTTTAAAAGGATCTTTTCTAACTTTCAGATTTATACCCAACTTACAGAATATTTCTTTTATCATCAAGGCATCAAAAATAACAAAGATTCTTAAATCTCTACATGAGGAAGGATATATAATATTTGCCCAAAATATTTTATCTCACTTATTAATAAGTTAAACATTCTAAAAATTTATATATTATAAGTAATGGGTAACTATTAATAACTCACCTCTCCAAATGTTGCATACAATTTCTTTGAATGAAATGTGGAATATTTTAAAACTTCATTCACATATTTGTAATCCTTTGTGTATTGTAGTTTGCTAAATATTGTATGGACTTCATTCTGTGGTGGGGGAAGCTTCAGATTCAGAGCTACTGTGACATTACCAGTCGATGGAATTGCAAGACTCACATTTGTGCCAAATCTGTATAAAAGAAAGAAAACGACCATAAAACAATTTTCAACAAGGGCCATGCAAGGGTAAGGGTTAATTTTTGACTTTAATAAAAACTGGCTATAATGATATCTGATGTACCACTATGCTCCTGAATATTGGTACAATTACATATGTAATAAAATATATCTTCTTGAGACAATGCTTAAATTATAACATGTAACATAAAAATAGGTTTGAGAAAGGTGAGGGACTCTAAAAATATCTCAGACACTTGTTTATTACTATAGGCCATCTTATAAAATGTATGAAATACTCACTGCCAACTATTTCTGTTAATATTAACATCCACTCCAGCAGCAAACGTTTTGAATGATTTTTTTGGATTTATATAAAACACCTCTGAGATAAGATGTCGTGACACATTTCTTGTTTCATAAAATCCAATCATTTTAGCAGCCATATTTTCCATTATGATCCACGTCCATTCCATATCAAATTTTCCTTTAGCTTGTGTGGCATCAAATACAGCTCTCACAATACCAGACTTCACAGTCACCCTGAAGTGACAATCAGCATTATTTAGTTTTCATTTAAATTGTTCAAAGTCAACAAATACAAAGTTTGTAATAAAAATAACTGTGAAAATAAATATTTCTTGTATTCTTGCAAACTGAGTGAAATGTCATGGAAAAATGTGAGAGTGTGACATGTATTTTAGTTAGCCAAAGACCAGATGCAGTTTTCTGATGTGACTAAAGAAACTCTTTGTATTTGGTCTATGTCTTGGCTATAAGGAAGAGAAAGTGAACTTCTGTGGCAGGTACACTCACTGATTATTTTAAGGTGACTAAAATTCCTATATTCTTATACTGAAATGCTAAACTAAAAATGTACATCGTTCCACGACAGAAACAACCACATTTATTTTATACCTGAAACACCAACACCTGCATCATTATAATTTCCTGGAATTATGAAAACAGCAGACAAAAAGTTAAAACACAAAATAAATGAGAAGAGACAAAGTCCTATTCTTCTTCCAAGAGTTTTAAAACATCCAGACTCATGAGTAATTATGCTTCATGCACTCATCTTACTTACAAGTAATGCCCTCCAATCACCAATCTCTCAAACCCTTGTATGGATGTGTTTGCATTTGCTTCCAGACTAACATTTCCATCACTCTGTTTCAAGAGCCTTCCACTTACAACAAAAGAACTATATATGGGATGAGAAGTCACAACCTTCAAACAATCAAAGGAACCAATTAGTGAAAAAAATCAACAAAAGGAATGTAATTAGTAGTCACTGAAATGGAAAGAATCATATTAAATAAGCTGAAATTATTTGTTAAAGTATGTTAGGTTATTTCTTCATTAATACTGCCAGTTTTGTAAAGTTGTTTTAAAACAATATTGTAATATCTGTGTGTTACATGGAATTTAATCTCTATCATATAAGAGAACAGTGCATTTAAACACGATACTACAGGGATCCTGCCCAGACTTACGCTGGGATTAATGGTTTACAAGTGCAATGAATGACCAACTGGGCTATGCATAAGACACACGACAAGGTCAGTAAAAATTAAATTGTCTGAAATGAATCTCTTGTTTTCTTCAATTTCTATGATGCCATAACAAATTCTGTACTATTTCACATTATGCCTACCCATGTCTCCATATATGTAATTTTTTAACAAACTTCATCCCAGGTGGTTGTAATTGCAGCTCAGATAAAGGGGGAAAAAAGGAATATTCAATTCCAAACACATCTTTCACACTTGGTACATCATTGAGCTTTGGAGATATGTTTTGTGGTTAAAAAGCACATACAAAAGAAGCATATACAATTATCTTTCATATTAAGGACAATCAAAAATGGTATAAATTGTACCTTCATATTAATGTTCCAGTCATTTGGCTGCAGATCTAATTCACTCTCCACAGTTAGCTTATTTTTCCCTTGCATAAATGCAGAAGTCACTTCAAAACTATTCTCTTTTTTCTGGATTTTCAACATTATACCAATTTCTTTTTCACTTTTATTAGGTGTTACAATTTTCATATTCACCTGCAAATAAATTGTACATATACATATTTAAGATCGATGAATGTATAAAAAGTGTGGTTAGAACTAGATATGCCCATGAATAACCAAAGAAACACAAAAAATACTTATGCATTTTAAAGAGGGCAGTGAAACATTCTGTGACATTTATATACCATCTTGCATGTCTATTTCTGATTTCACTTTGAGCAATGTTTAACTTCCAGTAAGTAAACAAATTAATGAAGTAAACATTTTCAGTCTCCTTAAGACTGAGCAATGAACAATTCCTCTATCTCTGTCTTTATTAATTATGATAATAATAAATATTATGGAACATAACCAGGAAAATAATGGCCTAAATAAAATAAATGAACTAGATATTGAGTGGTAAAAAGAGCATGGAATCTTTCAGTAGGGTAATACAGCATTTTCAATGAATACAGCAAAACTGACAATATTCAAAGCAAAGTACTAACACTCAGTTTACAAAAATGTCTGTTTGTTTGAAATAATTTTCAGTATTATATTATTCAAAGGCACATACCCAAGATGACTGTCACTTGTTTAACACTTTGAATAGTCTAATATCTTCTTTTAGGTAAAGTATTTTATCGGGATCACTAAATTCTTGGAACATGTCCATAATTTGTGTTTTTTAAAAGAACACTACACTTCGGAAGCTGGATCTGCTTCCATCCTCAGGTTAAAAAGGGGAAGAGGGGCACCTACTCAGTTGGGTCCGATAGAAAGAGCTAACCTCAATAGCTGGACAAACTAACTATAATTAGTCCAAGAATTTAGTGATCACGATTATAACACACCATTGTCAGTACCTTTAAAATTGTAAAGTATTTTGTGTTTTAGATAAAAGCAAATGGTGTAAAGTGGACTCTGATTATTCCCCTTAATGGTAAATTGACATATCACATGTCATATCTGCAATAAAATCTTTTCTATGTCCTGTATAATAGATTCATAAACTTATATCCTATTCTCTTACATAACTGAATTATGAAACTAACAAATGCAACTTACCATGAATGGAACCTGAGGTGTCACTTTGACATTGCCATGTACATTATGCAATTTTCCATCAGATTGCAAAAATGCTTGCAAAGTTTTTTCCCCGTCACCAGTGGGAGTCAGTGTGCCATTCAGCTGTGCTTTACTGAGAGCAAAATCAAAACATTATAAACTGTCATTATTGTAGTTAAATATAGGCATTTCATCTCGAATACCAATACATCAGTACATCATGACAAGAAATGAGCTTTTCATAGTTTGTTTAACAAAGACAGGTAAGTCAACACACAATCCTGATATTGGCCTGGAATTCCCTGTCTTATTATGTATGTACAAAATCTGAATATTATAAAAAGTCAATGGTAAAGAACCTTAAGCAACAAGCCAAGAGGTATATGTGGGTAAAGAAATAAGATTCTATGCATTGTCAACCTTTGCACTAGAAGGATTAAGTGGCCAGATTCATGCTCCAGTTCCATTTATATATAGGGAAATCACCCCTGTACCCATGGCAGAGGGGAACAGGATGGCTACAGAGACATTCTAGAGGTGAAGAAAATCATTCCATTGTTCTCACCAGTAACAAAATCAGCAGCCAAACCAACTCAGCTATTATGACTAGGGATTCCGAACATGATTTCAGATTTTCTCTCTGCTTATTTAAATCAATGTTGGAAGTACCTTTAAACACATGTAACAAATTACCGTAAGACTCCCACCCTGGTATTTTTGATGTAGGATTTAAACCATTTTGTAATAATAACAAAGATCTGCTCCAAGTGTCTGCCTCACAAACATTTTCCAGATAAGCTTATTGTTTTGTATATTTAAACACATGCCACCAAATAAAATGTGTGTGAGAAAACTGGGAAGAACAAACAGGAAAAAGACAATGGTAGAAAGAGTCCTTAAATATTGGTTACGATTGTGAAAAAGGGGTGAAATAAGCCTATTAGAGGAGATGCATTAAAACAACAAAGTTTAGAGAAAGGGAAAAATTGGATTTAAAAAGTAGGATTTGAGGTTTTCATGGCAACAACCCTGAAGACAGCCATCTTCAGGATTTAGAAAGACTGGGTATGGGGGACATTTGCAAAAACTGCATGCATGAGAAGCAAGTAAAAGGCATGTGGATAATTATAGACAGAAAATGGAAAGAAGCATGAGGAAGAAAAGATCACTGGTATTTTACAATGAATTGAAGAGTGGTTGGGAGAAGAAGAAGAAAAATTTTCATGGCACTGTCCTGCTACATGCCATGCCGGTGCTAATGCATGAACAGACCACAGAATGTTTATTCACTTGTTGGGTCCCTCATTATATTCTGGGTTCAGTTATTGATGTTTTATTAACCAGTTGAGATAAAAAACTGCCAAGGGATAAACATGTTATCCCGACCAGCTGAATCAAGTGAGTTGCCAAGTTGCCATACCAACCTCAAACCTTCAATAGGCATATCCATATCAACTGTAAGGATATTTCCTTCCAAATGTAAAGACACCATTATCTGTTGACCTGGTGCATATGTAAGTTGAAAATCCAATGATACAGATGAATCAGTGGGATTTTGGGTAAATATAATGTTTCCTTCAATCAGAGATAGCTTGTCATAAGGTGTTTGAAGTATTCCTTGAGCTTTGACAAAGGTATTCCCTTCAATGTGCCATGACACTTCAAACTTTAACTAGAGAGCAGAAACACACAACATTAATGGAAGATAAACTTCTGTTCTTACATCAGTATGAATCACAGAGATGTAAAATCACGTATTCAATGTAAATGAAAAGGAACACAATGGATGTTTCTAACACTGATGGCATGAAGTAAAAAAATGTTGTTTGGTATGTCTGATAGTAAATGTGTTATATATATATAAAAATATATTAGAATTCGAAATTTGACATTCAATAATTCTCCATTTACTGCCATCAAAATCAAGAATACTTCACACTATTATATTGTTATAAATTTTGGACAAGAATAAATTTAACAAAACAAAATTTTACAGAGCTCTGTTAGAAATTTACATGTGTAAAGTACAGAATATAAGCTAAGAACCAGTCTTTTTCTATTCACTGAAGGTTTTATTAAGACAGAAAAGAGAATGCAGGAGTGCAGAGCGTGTAGTAAATAGAAAGCAGCGTTAGAATGGCAACAATAATATGTGATAGAAATTAGTTTTTTAACAGAAAACACAACAGAATAGAATGATTTTTTCTGACAACTGAATATTATACTTACATTTTTAAGTGTAGCATTCAATCTATCAAGCACAAATTCAATTCTTTTTTCCTCATTAGAGAAGTCCTTTATAGCTGATACTCGAAAAGCTGATATGTTGTAAAGAGGTGATACCATATTCAGACCCACAGATGCATCTACATAACCATCCTTTAGCTAAAAGTGAAGCAAACATTTCATTTTTATTTGCAATTACATTATTTTAATTGAAGATACTACACAGACACACTATCAGCAGTCAATGAAGCCGTAAGTGTGGACGACATCACACAACTATTTAAAGTGTGCAAGAGCAGTTAATTTAAAACTATTATACACAGGATCCATACAATTAGACAAAATTGTACTTTCTAGAAAAAATCAATAAAAAAATATTGGGAATGGATTTACACACCAAAGGAAATTCATAATCATTAATGCATGATTATTTTACCTCAATGTCTCCTCCAGTTGTAAAATAGCTTTGGTTAGTCAGCAATGTCAAATTGGTGTGATAAAATTTGTCTTGAATTTCTATTAAAGCTGTTACATCCAAGAGCTTCAAAGTATCAAATGGAGAAAATATATTGAGTCTTGCGGTATGAGCATCAGTTTCCTCATCTTTTCCACTTCCATAGGTATATTTTATTAAAAATCCAGCCTGGAAATAAACAGATCACATGGTTAAAGTACTCAAACCGAAAGCAGAGTAACACTATTTCACTCAGATGAACACAAAACACAGGAAAATATTTACATGCTGAATATATACTATGTTAGAGAAATGCATTCTTCACTGAAGAATTCACTCCAAAGTCCTCAAACTTAATGACTTGGAAACCAGAACAAACCAACTCCTTCAGTCTACATGCAACATACATTCTGTATGATACAGACATTACAAAGTTTTATAGTGTTAAACTAAGCGCAAAGTTTCAAAATTATGTGAATGGGAAAGCTATGTCTCACATGGTATTGAGAGTTAAACATAAAAGTGAAACTATATTCAAATTTCTAAAGAAGTCAGATAAGAGTCTGAATCTTAGGGAAATAGGATTGGGGGGTGGGGGTTATGGACTGAATTCATCTGGTTCAGGACAGAGACCAGTGGTGGGCTCTTGTGGACATGGTAATGAACTTTTGGGTTCCATTAAATTTTGGGAATTTCTTGAGTGGCTGAGTGACTGTTGGCTTCTTAGGAAGGACTTGGTTCTATGGAGTAAGTAAATAAGCAAGCAAGGAACATGTTAACTGAGTACATGCACTGCTAAGATGACTCCTGTTGTATACTTACATTCTTCCACTCACTTTTGCTCTTTACTTTAAAGTCAAGAGACATTTCATACTGTTCACCCAACATCACTTGAAAGTTACAATTGGATATCAGTTCTTTGAAACATTCACATGGAGTTGTAAGATGAAGTCGGTTTGTCATTGTAAAAATATCCTGAAGAAAGAAAAACCAGAGAAAACTCTACAACGTTTACTAAATCATTAAGTGTTTAAACCAAAATACTTCCCATGTTTCAGAAATGGGTGACAAGATATTTTATACAGAAGTTCAAAGTGTACAGACAAAAAACCAATCATGAAACTTAGCATAATTACTTACTTGGGCAACATGTTTTCTGTTTTTATATCATGTTATGAATACAACAACTTGACAAAACAAAAACATTATCATAATGTGCACAAACTAATGGTACAGACAAGTAATTAACAGTAATGCTGGGTTGCTCTACAACCTTCAATTCAAATAAAAGTCACACCTCATGAACTTTGGGAGGTGAATCCCAAGGTCACAGGGGAATCTAGTTAATCAGGATAAATCAATTAATGGACATAATTATTTACAAGCCCATCATACTTTGGTTTCTGACTGTCCTCAATCTTCAAAAGTTTGGTAATCACCAGAGCAGACTTTTCATCCTTTAAAGGACAACTGGTTATTGATATTAAAGCTCTTTATGCAATTAACACAAAAATTTCCATTCACAAAGTAGGCTCCAGATCACTGGTCCAGTGACTGAGATTAGCCTCATTCTAACAGACACCACAGAGTAGGTGCCCACTTCGTTACACCCGAAGACGAGGACACATCCAGTCCTGAAAATGTTATGTGTTTTATAACATCAGATGATGGACAAGATCCAAAAACTCAACAATCCAGAATTTAAATAACTTCTACTTTGGTTCCTACGTCCAAGGTAAATACACTGCATCAATAAAAAGTTTTATGGTGTTTAGTACAGAACAAAATGAAACTCATTAAGGGAATATAGACGTGATATACCAAGTTACTGAATGTTAAAGCATGTGGTGCACCAATGAGTTAAAGCCAAGATAACTCTCCTTCAAAACCACGTTACAAGAAAGCTTAGATACAAACAGGAATGCTTCTGCAATTCCAGGGAACCTCACGTTTTTGTTAGTATTATTTACTTGTATCTACATACAGTGTGATTCAAAAGGTTAGGACCAAACTGAAGGAGCATATAGAGGGAATCAGAGAGAACAACTTTCGAATAGGAATCCATGTCCTCCGAAGTTATCCTGAGTCAGTCGAGCCCATTGAAGGTAGGGAAGTCTGATAACATGCCGCTGAAATAATCATACTTTGCTATTCTCCTACAAGACTTGCTGCATCTGACGTCGTCCATGAGACTCCTGGGGTATTTGAAAGGGTATGCCAGAGTTTTGTTCGCCAATGCAATGCCTGTATTGAACGTGGAGGACGCCACTTTGAACACCTGTTCTAAATTTGGTTTGTAAGATTGCTAATTTAATCATTGTACATTAATAAAAAAACAAAATTAAGCTAGTAGAATAGCAAAGTACGATTATTTCAGCGGCATGTTATCAGACTTCCCTACCTTCAATGGCCTCGACTGACTCAGGATAACTTCGGAGGACATGGATTCCTATTCGAAAGTTGTTCTCTATGAGTCCCTCTATACGCTCCTTCAGTTTGGCCCTAACCCTTTAAAATCACCCTGTATATATGATATTTAGATCTATAGGTTTCAATAATTTGTCCAAGCTTAGGTGCATTTTGTTCTCTATCTTCATTTTACCAAACAATGTGGTACAGTTATCATCATTCCTGTTTAATATAGTGGAGGTATCCTGTTAAAATCTTGGCATGGAGATTGGCTATCCTGACTGAGGTTAAATTAGTTCAGATTTCAGGTTCTCACAGTAACCAGTATGAAGATGGCTGTCTTCTGGAATGTTGTGCCATGTGGTATAGTAGATACGGAAAACATTTCAGATGAGCTTACTACCTCCATCATCAGGGAGATAAGTGATGATGATGGAGAGAGATGATGGCCAATATTTACCAGACTACACAGTGCAACATCTCAGAAGACAGTCATCTTATTTTATCGTGTTCCTTGATCACTGCAAGCAAGTGCTTGGATAATACCTTATATCATCTTCCTTTCACACTGTTCCAAATTCATTATTCACATCTTCCTACAATTTGATACCACGTGATTTCTGCAACTGACAAATTATGGTTCAATGAACCAAGAAACATCTTTTTTCATTCAATCATGACCAAAAATAGTAATATGGAAGGATAAGCATTCTCTTACAATAAAATCAAATTCATCCCGAATTTCTGCAACTCCATCTGGAAGCACCAGTGATGCCACAATATTATAAACAGTTCCCCTTTCGTCAATGTCCAGCATTCCTTTCATTGTTGGGTAGAGGACAGTGTCCAGTTCAATGACACCCCTCCAACTGAGTGCATCTTCACTTTCATCCTCGCCAGCACTATCATCATAATCAGGGTCAATCTCTTCTAGCTCTTGTCCTATATTTTTCGAATTCAAGACTTTAATAGAAAGGGGTTTTGGTGCACCAGCAATCTTCAGACCAAGCTACAAAGCAGATACAATAATTCACATATTAATTTTAAGTGACTCAATGTTCAAACATACATCACAACCACATGAACATATGAACAACTGGATTCACAATACATAAACCATGAAGGAAGAATGTCTAAAACCAAGAGATATTTACCATCATTACTTTACAGTACTGGGTGTTCAGTGTTAATTATAAGTCTCTACATTTTGTAATCATATCTAGTGCTTCATTATGTTCTTTATTTTTCAGACAACATCGATCTCTGTTGTTGTCAGAGCGTAAACTGTGTCACCTTATAACACAACAGACAGAAGTAGTAATTTCATATGTTTTAATACTTAAGATTTTACAGTTGTTCATGGTAGCAGCACGAGGTACGCGCAGACACAAAGTTCAAATTTCACGCAAGTCAAAGCCATGTTTCCCACAAGTTACTATTCAGAACGGAAAACCGAGTTCAAACTATTATCATGTTGACATATTTCAGCACACATATGAGAAGTTCATAATGCTTATGATAAACAGAAAATAAGGTCATCTGTTCAAATGTGAAAATAGAGAAACATTCTCTAAAACTGACACAATAACAAAATTACCTTTATATCAGACAGTACAATGCCAAAAGCAAAATCAAGGCCATCTCTGTATATTAATTTGGCTATGATGCCATTCTCTTCAAATCCTTCCAGTGGAGTATAAATTCGATAATTATGCTCAAAATCTGTAATGGCCACGTAATGCCAGACTCCTGAAAATCCAATAACTAAAGCATTCCAGCCACACCTGAAATCAATCTGTCAGTCACAGAAATATAAGAGAAGCATTGTAATAACACAACTGAAACTAATTGGTTTAAACAAATACACAATTAAATTTAGACTACCATTTGGTATTTTAAAATAATTTTTATAAAACTAATATACAATGTAACTAAAAATAATGTGGAAATTTACTCACTTGCAATACAGACACAAAAGTACAGGTAGCTAGAACTACATGTAGAATTGTAAAATTTGCTCATTGAAAGATTTATTACATTTTAAATAGCTGGTAACTTATCTGAGAGACAAAACTTGGTAAAATTACTTGAAGCACCCATTTTTTAAAATCATAATTCTCAATTTCACAGCATGTGTTAATACACACCTGATATAGAAACTCCAGCAAATACATTGGTTGAGAAAAAATATTTTAATATGACTTTAATGACCTTATTTAATATCAATTGCAGTCTTTCTCTCAATGTGTTACAATTCCGTAATTTTATTTATTTTCTTAGAGTTCATATACCGAAACCTTTACTTACCATATCCTCCTTCAATTTCCCAATAACCAATGCTTTTGTTACAAATTCCATCGGAGTTTCTAAACTGAACTTCACATCAAAATCACTTATGCTGGAAATTCTGAACAGAATATCAATTCCAATACCAAAAGAAGGCCCTTTGACTTCAGCTACAAGATGCTTTTCAGCTTCTGAATAACCAAATCGTCCAGTGATGGTTCCATACTTGTGAAATGGTGTAGTAATGTTGAATTCAAGCATACTGTTACTTAGTTTCTTCAAATGCCCTGAAAAAACAGTCATTACATTAAATAGGATTTGAGGTTCTCTCATAAGGGTGATCACTCTTATAACGGAGGCAGCAAGGGCATCTAAAGTGTTGAAAAACTTCTACCAGAAGACACCCTTCTTACCCATTGCATTACTTGCTGAATTCAAGAGGAAAAATTGACTTAAACTATGTCAAAGATAGAACTAAATTCATAAGCTTGTTAAGAAACCAAGGTTTGTGTAACAGGTGAAAGATAATTTAAAAGTGTTTCATAATTGAATGTGTTGGACCAGTACTGACAAATATGAGGAGCATGTTAAAATTAATCTTCTGTGCATGGAGGAAAACAATTACTCTTTTGGATAATATGAAAAATTACTGATCTAATATGTAAATAATTTTAGTTGCTGAAAACAGTGTGTTGGTCCTACAAAGTTATGATGTCATATAAAGTATTCATATTAAACATCCTCATGCCCATATGTTCATTAGGCCCAATTTTTACAGAAGAATAAATGTCATATTTATGAAGATGGCTATTTTCTGGGATGTTGTGTGTGTGTGTATAATCTGGTAGATGCTGACCAATGTTTCAGATAAACTCAGTGCCTCCACCTCAATCATAGGAATTCATGGCATAACCTACCTTTGCAGTGAAAAGTGCAAAGTTCAAAATAACTCCAGAATAATCACAAAGTGCAAATATTTTGTAACCACAATATTTTACTTTTTCTGCATACACACCTTCCAATATCAGAGTGTATTTCCTTGTATCAAGGTTCAGATCAGCAGCACCTGTAATGTCCCAGTCACTGGTGACATGTACCCAGCTACTTAAGTCTCCCATATGATATCCATCAAATGGAGAAACCATAGAAATTATTCCTGTGAGGTTATAAGATTCTGGACCCTGTTCATATTCCCACATGCTCTTCATAGTTATTGTCTGTTGTGGATGATACTGAAAACAAGAACATTAGAAATCCATTACCTGGGTGTTCAGCATCAACAAACAACATATGGAATTCAAAGTTATCCAGGGTTCCAAACTATAGTATTCTTGTGTGTCATATAGTGATGAAAAAATTAACATTAAAATTGTGTAATAAACATTTTATATAGATCTGACAGTTCCAGGTAACTTAATCTTTATCATATGGGAACAGGGGGTTTAAACCTCTGTACTGCAGGGCTGCTGGCTGGATTTTAACTCCTGGGTTAATGGTTCAGCTGTATAATGTGATGCATGGCCAGCTAAATCATGCTTAAGCTATAATGCACGGACAACAAATGACACAGTAGAAGTCAGTCACTCGGAGTCTTATATTGATGATCATGAAGTCAACATTCCTATCAGTATCTTATGACAGGACAAAGGTCCGCAATGGGAATAAAAAAAATTCTTTTTCGTATGACATCCAGTTTGGAACTGTCTGTGAACAATCGGTTGTATTAAGTGGTACTAAGGAAAACTATTAATTATGTTAAGTACTGTGATAAACTGAGTGTGAAGCAAGATACAAAATAGGGATATATAACTAATTAGGATATAAAAGTTTACATTGGGATAAGAAGCATATGAAATACAGAGGACATCTCCTCTGGGATTCAATGTATGCCACATTAACAGACATGTAATATTCATAACATTACAACAGCTTCAAATTGGGTAACACCTGCCCAGATGAGGAGTTGTAATCCCTGGTAACAGTGACACAAGTTTTGACAAGTTGTACAAATGATTACAAATTGAAGGTACAAGTCAATCAATTAATTAGTATACGGTAGAAGTCGTGGGAGGGGTACTTATCAAACAGTAAGCAGTCAACTGGGACACAAAGACCTGGAGGGTTGCTAACAGTCAGAATAGTCATACATTACAACAAATTGTAATGTCTAGAATAAGACATGCGGGATAAAATTCGTTTCTAGAAAAAGTGCCATTTCAGGTAAGAAAACTTCTGCTTCTAAAATGTCGATGAAACTCTGAAATTATAACGTGATAATTCAAAATTACAGCTGCTTGAGGAATATTCTGTACTACGTAGTTACTTAGTTTCCTGTGGCCCATTCTTATAGCATTGTAATGTCGCAATAATACTATTCAACAGATTACAGAGTTCACATTAGTAATCAACAAAAATTCATCAACTATTATAATTTATCATTCTAATTTTTCCACCTTCACTTTAAGATTAAGGGAGCAATAAATAATAAGCATGTTACCTGTATGTATATATTTGTATCAAATCTCTTGTTCGTTTGCTTGTGATAGAATCTTCCAGACAATGATGACACTTGTGGGATGGTACTTATTATGGAAGACTTGAGTTCATACAGGAAACCATTTTCAGTGATTAAATAGTTATTGTAGAAATCCAATGCAATATTCTGATCATCCTGCCAGTACACACTGCCATTAGCACTAAACAAGTAGTCTTCATGTCGAATGCTGTTCACACACATACAACAAACATAACCAAGTCAAGTATCAGTATTCATATTATACTCATATAATTTTATAAATATAATAAATGGCCATTACTTAAAACAGTAAGAACTTTCGAGCACAGAAATTCAATCTCTTACATTTCTTCTGTTTTCATACTGAAAAATAATTGTGTAGCTAAAATATCCAGTGCCTTTGAGGTCCTTGTTCTACTAAATTCTACTTGCATAGGCCTACATAAGAATTTACATTACAAATATTCTGAAATGTAAATAATACTGACTAAACTTGAAAATGGCTTGCAGCAGTTTAGGATTCTCACATATTAAACCTAACATGTTTAAGAAAGATGTAATTTCTCTGCAATATGCCCCTATAAATAACATGGGTTAACATAATTTCTTTTCTATAATGTCCCAATTAATGATGAAACTGTTAATGTTTTCCAAGATTTTATGTATTTCACACAACACAGTTATTAAATTAAGGCACAAAAATGTTTAAATGAAGCTTGTACGGCTGTTAGAACATGACACCTTAAGCTTTAAAAAAAACTAACCAACCACTGGTCATAGCTTCACTAAAAATTACTTAACGGTCTACTGACTGATCTGTATAGTAAAAGAATATGAAGATTCAACACTACTAAAACCATACCCTGCCAATGGACACAATCCTGAAAAAACTCCAATTCACAAAACCTGTTACGATCCATTTTTGTTATCCTCCGACTGCCATTTCAGTATTCCAAGAATCTACTTTCAAAGAGGTTCCTCCAACAAAATTTTGTTTTCATGCATATTGCTTTTCCTATTTACAGCATTTTAAATTTATGATCTGTGCTCTAATTTGCCTCCCATTTCAGGGTCTTCATGTACCATCTTGGCTTCATCAGTCATATTTGTTTTGTGCTACATTTAATATGTATTAACAGAAAATAATTATTGCTTCAAAGAATTTAGTTTTGAGTATCTGTTGAAGTACAGATCTGTGAGGCAAATGGTATATCCCATTACATATTATCTAACCTATCCAAACAGGAAGTGAAGTGTATTTCATTTTGCTTTGACAATTTGGTTTGGTCCCGTACAATTGTGTTTAATGGTATTAATAATATTTAGAAGTACTTTTATTAAACATACTATACATATTTATAGCATTGCACAGTTAGCAATGAATCATGCTTCTTTTTCACCATTTATCTCCTATTGGTTGTTTTAAAAAGGTCACAAATTCTAAGACTGGATGCCACTACATTCCTACGAAAGTACCTAGCCAACTAACTAGTTACCCAACCAATATAATGGAGAACAGTCCTTCTTGAGAAATTGATATTCACACAAATAGACAAGAAATTCTCTGTCTTTTATGGAACAGAAAATTCATTACTGCTTCTGCGACAGTTTGCCAACAATACTTTATGTGTCACAAAGCAACACTGTTAAATAACTATAAGGCACAATACAAGAGAAATGTCTGTCCATGTATAAGAATTAGTAACTAATTTGTGATAAATAACAATATAAAGCGTTTAAGACAAAGTAGGCAAACATTTCATAAAACAATACTCAGCATTTGAGATCAATTATGCAAGTATTTTATGTATAACTGTTTATATGAAGTAAATGCCTCAGTATTCTTAACCTACAGAAAAATGTTATGAATGGACATTACTGAATTCATTTCAATTCCTTTTATAGGCAGGGAGCATTTCTTGTGAGTGTGAGAGAAATGGATCTAGCAAATTTCATACCCGCCTGATACAGACGTCCTCCTCCAGTTCTCAAAAGGTGTCAATAGCTCACAGTTCACCTTGACCAATAAATTGTCTGTGTATTTATGTACAGAGACTATGGTCACCTCAATAACATCCTTTGGGCTCCATTCTAAGTGGGATGAGGATTTGTAAGTGGTACCTGCACAAGAAATTACAAAGGAATTTAATGTAAAACAGGCTATAGTCTGAAAATATCACTTTCATATTCATCACTGAATTTGCCTCCTGTTGGTAGATTATGCACATCTGTCTGTCTTTCTTGTCTTTCCAAATCAATGCTGTCAAGAAACCTCTCGCCCTAGCAAACATGTCACCCTGTTTTAAAATTAGTGTCTTATAATCAAAGTCCCCAAAATTCCTTTATGATTCCATCTAACAGTTCCACAGCTGTTGATAAAGTTCATGTGTGGGTCAACAAATACATCAGGAGAGGAGACATAACCGTCCATATAAAGTTCACGGCCAACCCCTTCCACTCTTCTAGTGGGAATTTACACTTTCATGTGTGTCCCTATAATTATCTGTGTTGCATTTGCCAGCCCCCCCCCCCATTATATGTGCACCCAGTCACAATGCAAAGTTAATAAATCTTTACACCAAAGTATTTATGTTTCTTAGGAATGTACTGCTTGAAAATGACTTTCCCTTTGAACAGCACAATGACTTTGTCCACAGCTAAATGTTATGATGTATTTTAAAATTCAACATGGGTGTCAGTAGGCATACAAAAGAAAAAAAAATATCTTATTTTTCAACGTCTGTCATCATTCTTGTCAGTTTTGTCTGTTTGATTACTGTTGTTGCAAAAATGCAGAAATCTCAATACATAAAATAAATTATCCTGTTTGACCATGTTACTGTAAAATTAAATGCAGAACTGTTCAAAACTTCACCAATAATATTCAATATGTCCTGCTCGTCATGTGCCATTTGTATGATAAAAGCCAATAATGCATATTTGTATTCAATTGTTTATTTTATTTCCTTGCTTGTTAAAATTAAAAAAATGACAGAAGGACAGTCAGAAGAGTTGACTCATTACCCTGATGATGGACTCAGCATGGTCCTCTGAAACAATGGTAAACTTCTACCAGACTACACGGCACAACAACCCAGAAGACAGCCATCTACAGACTCACCACCATGAAAATCTCAAATCCTTCTTAGGAGTACAGTCAGTTTCTCAACGTGTTATGACCAACATTACATCACTAATATAACATAACACTTTTTTCAGAATGTCTCATTGACAATCTTTCCCACCTGTAAATTATAAAGTTCTACTCTCAAATCAACAAGATGGAACCTTTCAATTAAATTTATTGAGAATTGTAGAACATATTTCTAAAACACTATCTAGACATATTCTTATTACAAGAAATGTGAATATACCTTTAAAGGCAAGATGAAAATTCCCTTTCACAGCTCGACCAGGATAGGCTATTAAGAAAGCTCCGCTGTAATTAAATCGGTCAGGGTTGACAAATTCAACAGACGCAGCAAACTTTTGGCCAGGATCTCGGTTGGCATCCCACTTGATTTCAACTGCTGCTTCCTTTCTGTCTGCACGATTCATTCCTGTCAAAGCTACGTGAATATCTCGGTGCCTGCAAACACAGAAAGAAAAATGAATAATGCAATGAATAACCATTATCAACATTTTGAATATTAAATTTCTTACTTTCCCAGATGTGTATGAACTTATTTACTAGAAATGTCTTTACAACTTATAGCTCTTGTACCTATTCTGCTCAGACGCAACAGAACAGTTCATCTTGCATCATCATCATCACCACCACAACCACTATAAAACTATAATCATCACAATGACATATCACCCCATGTGATATCAAGTTGTTCATATGACAGCACCAACATTTATCATGGTTACTGTAAGATGTGACGAACATATGGGCAGAATAAGCATTCTTTGCTTACAATGAAGTATAAAGAATGCCTAAAAATGTATTTGACCATGACTGCAAGTTGTTACGATCATCTTAACTACATTAATGTGTAGATGGACTGGGAAGAAATATCAATATTACAGCATACCACATCCTTGCAGAACTGTTCCATCCACAAGTCAATGATTTTGCTATAGCACAATATTATGGAAATCAATTGAGATACATATTATGTTTAGTTATTAAACAAACAATCTTCATTGAACTTACTGGTCAAGATGTAACTCCAAGAGCATCTGCTTAAGGTCCAAAAGGTTAATAGTCGTAGTCAGAGTATATATTCTTTTCTTGTAGCGTAAGTCAACGTATGTCTCGAATTCTGCTGAGGAAGTCGAAGAATGCTTCAATAGCAGCGAGTATTTATCATCATTATGATCAGCCTGTTAAAACATTAACACAAAAATATGATGAGGCACCAACTGCTGAAATTATGATACTGAATGAGATATGAGAGGATGATTGTCAGTGATAAAATGGGAGAGATGTGACATGAAGCAGGCACAACCTATTTCACCATCTTAGTATTTGCTTAAGTATTCAGAGCAGTATCTTCTTTTATGGGTTCCCCAGTTGCAATTTTGTATTAATTACCCATCCCCATCATGCATGCTACAATGCCTTCCATCTTAACTTTGATTACCTTACTTACAATTAGTGAATAGTTCAAATCATGAAGGTCTTAATTATTCAAATTTAGCCAGTATCCTGTCACTTCTGCTCTCTTAGGTCCAAATATTTTGTACACAATATTCTTAAATGTCATCAATCTATCAGCCATGTTACTGGTTAGCTAAAGAGAACAGTGAAAAGATACGAAGGGTTTGGTGCTACCGTATAGTGACTGACTATGGACTGGACGATTGGGGTTTGATCCCTGACAGGGGCAGAGGATTTTCCCTCTAGCCTCTGCATCCAGAACAGATCTGGGGCCCACTCAGCCTATCTAATGGGTACCAGGGTACTTTTCCAGGGGTAAAGTGCAGCCAGAGAGTGATGCTGACCACTCACTCCCATCTAATGCCGAGGTTTAGGATTAGTAGGAGCTATACCTCCACTCCCCCAAAGCGCCTACATGGCGTATAGCGGGACAGCTTTTACTTTGGTGCTACTTGAACATTATATTCCAAATACAGACTCTAATGAAGTACAGCACCAGACCACTTACTCAGCCTAGGACCTAAGGCTACATGCCCATCACATTCTTCTCGACTTAATCACCCTGACAATACTGGGGGAGGAGTATAAATTTTTAAGCTCATCATTATGCAGTTTTCTCCATGCCCCATCATATTCTTTCCAAGGCCCACAAATCCTCCTCAACACCCTATTCTCAAACACCTGCAATCTGTGTTCCTCCCTCAGAGTGAGAGAGCAGTTTTTGCCACGCACAGTGTAAAATAAGTTCTGTATTCTGCAGCTAAGCACAAGATTAAATATTAGATGTAAAGTTATGAAATGTCAGATTTACCTGAAAATCTACTTTCAGTTCCTTGTCATCAGACAGAATTTTACACACTACAGAAATTTCATTAAAGCTTGGTGACTTGATAATCATTTTCAAGTTGTGACTTGTAATTTTTGCTGTTGTTCTGTCCTGGTATAAGCCTTTGGCAAAAAAAGTGTGTCCGCTAAACCATGTTCCTGACAATTCAATCTGTAATATAATAAAACAGCACTATCATTATAATTTGACATCCTGATAAAATAACACTTTAAGGAGTACATACAACATATTTATATTTTTAAACCACTGACTGTTTTGTGAATGCTTTATCAGTAGAAGGTTTGTCCTTCTATTCTTCACTGCGCGCTAATTGAAAAGCAGCTCTCTTCTAGCTTCTCTTCAGAACTAGTGTCAAAGTACAGCCTTTCTATTGTGGAATTTTCTTTGAAACGATTCGTATAAAGATGCTTAGAAGGTAATGCCATATTGCTTATTGTCTTTGGGTTCAGAAATAAATAAATACAAGTAGAAATTTAAAGTGATAGTACATAAAATTATTTAAGAACAAGTAAGAAAGCACAATATCATGATGCCCAGTCAACAGTTCTAAGAATAAAATGTTTGAGTTTCTAATGGCATCTTGGTTGTGAATGGAATAAAAAAATTCATGCTAAGAAATCTGACACATCAACAATGCTTCAATATCAAAATAAAAATTTACAGCATGCTAAAAATGATTTCAAATAACATGATAGTACAACCAGAAGCTCATTAATTGTGCCTTACAAAACCGAAACTTCTTTTTAGATGCATACGCAGACTCTTAATATTAATATTTGTAAATTCTGACCAAGTAAGAAATACATGTAAGCCTGCTATTATTAAAGTAATAAATCAAAATTAAAGTTGAAGGTCATATGCCAATAAATGATAAGTGACTGTCTTATTTGCATGTCAAATTTGTAATAAGTACTGCCACACATCCAACATGACATCATATTATTGCTGGAATTCAATGTGATTAAACATGTTTATTAGCTCCTAAGTCTAGAATTCCTCAAACCTTTTGATTTACAAAGTTCTTCAAGTGAATCGTTCATTTCACCTGTGAATACACGATGTTACATGCCAATATGATGAGTTCTCATACAAATTAAGGAATATGTTATTTTAACTTACGGCATATTCATTTGGGTTTTTTTCATGTATCTTCAATTCCAGCAGCATGGGATTAAATGAGGGTAATGTAACATTCAGCTTCGCATCAACATACATTAGGCTGCCACGTGGAATTGCCAAATCTGCAGAGATTACAACTTGTTTGTCTGGAATAACACAATACAATCTCTTTATGAATTATGTTTAACTTCTTTATACAAATAGTTACAATATCCACATACAAAGCAGAAGCACCATGTACCCAACACGTACTTGCTGCCTCCATCATCGGGGCAATATTGATGGCGGCAGCAGGAACTAGTGGTGTCTTATTCATTAAGCCACCTTACATGGCTGGTAGCCCAAGAAGAATTTATTATAGGGAGCAGATTACCAGCTCAATTAAATCACCTTTTTATTGTAAAAAGTGTGGCAATACCATTCATCTGACAAGTGCTTCGTTATAATACGCTGCACTCCTCTGTGTGTTTAAACTCTCATTATCCTTTTATGGTACCACATTCAACCATCAATAATTTAACATTGTAGACTATTACCTACAAAACACATGAGTACTAATGGTAGATGATGAATATGGATATGGGAGAATGGATAGAAGCAGAAATTATGAAATTACGGCTGTGCTCCGAGTCTCTCGCATTCAATGACAACATAAATCAGTACAGTGATTATCCTTACCTGTGGCATATTGAATTTTAGCTTCCGCCTTATGTACAGGGCCAGTTAAATGATACATGAAACCTAGCATGATGTTAATTTCACTTAACGGTTTTGTAATGCTGAGAAAAGTGTTTAACTTGCAGCCTTCCAAGTTCTTGTTGTATTTAAACACCAGCTGAATGGTAAGTTTATTCCTTTGATCTGTTAACTGTGGCCCAGTGTTAATCTCTAAAATACATTCAACATGGCCCTGAGATTTCTGTGAACAAAATGACACAGAGAGCATTAAATGGTTATTTTATGTTACAAGATAAGTCCCTACCTACACATAATCAACCATGATTCCACACTGTGATTAAAATCTACTAGAAATGAAAGAAGTCACCCCAGAACCTTTATGCCCTTGTAAGGCAAACTGCTTGACAATGGATGGAATACTGCTCAATATGTGAAAAAATACACCAATTAATTTTACTAAAATACAGATTCATTAAATATAAGGACAATACTTACAAGGAAGTTCAAAGAAGATGTGAAATTAAATTGGGAATACGCTGACGATCCTATCTTTAAATTCCCTTTAAGTTGATACAAGTATTTAACAGTTCGATTACTCAATTCTGCTTCTATTTTAACAGTTTCTAATTTTTCTTTTGGAAACTTGTAATCCAGTTTTAAGTTTGTAGATACTGATGCATCACTCTTTTGAACATAGCCAAATAATTTCATTGTTACTTTCTTTGTGTGAAATGCTAAATTCACATCACATTGTGAAACACCTTTCTTTTCAATCCACTTCAAGTTTCCTGAAAAAATAAATTAATATGTGTATGCAATGAAAAGCTTAAAAATAAAACATTATTATAAGAAGAGTTATTTTGTTATTCTATTGAAAGGACCAGAATCCACGAATCCAAACTGTTTGTGTACTAAAGTAAACAGTAACCACAAACAAAATTGCTCATGTCAGAGAGATACAAAAATCAAGAAAACCAACACTACTACTATCAGTAATTGCAACCCTCGACAGTTATTACTCATGAATACGCATACTCTTTTTCCAACCAAACTGATCCATTACTTTCTGCATTACAATGCTGCCACCAACTCTGAACACTCAAAGTCACGTCCAGACATAAAACACAGACCTACCACCGTGAATGCTAGTTGTAATTCACTGTCATTGTATTGCTAGGTTAACATAGCTGGCTCATCATAAACCTTAGCATTACATCAAATAAGGGTTAAAATAAGACAGCAACAACTACATTCAATTCTTTGCAGTAAAGGGTGTTTTTTTTAAAAAAAATAAAATTTACGACTTTGAAAGTTGTGTCACCTACAGGTCAGACATGTAGGTAATAAATAAAAGATTATCACAAAAAATAAATGCAACAGAAATGAATTACTGGAGAAGATGCTGCGGTGTAACAAGACTCAAACACATAAGAAATTAAGAAATCAGAAAAAGGGTGCAAGTTCAAAGAACATGGACGGACACTAGCGAAACAAAAAGGTTGTTCTGGTATGGACACTTAAGATGCATGCATGAACAGAGACTACTCCAAAAGTTATGGGAATCGATACAGATAGAACGCAGAAGAAGAGGAAGAACATGAAATAGACGGTTCGATGAAGTAAGAAAAACAATGGAAAGAAGACAGTTGGGAGAAGATGAAAGGACAAGGTGGTGACTGGGATGCGAGAAATTGCCACAAAGGCTATAAAACACTCGTTATAATGACGATGATACACATAATTAATATAGCTAAATTTAATACAACTTACCTGATCATGCAACAGAAACGACTAACCTGAAAGCTCTGCAATCCTTTCATTGTTAATTCCAAGGTAAAATTTGGGTTGATACGAGTAACCATATTTTATTTGTTTTATTTTTAATCCCACTTCTGCATCAAAATGTTTTTTACCATCAATATTTAGACCAAACTGAATATACTTCTCATTTTCAGTGTTTTTGTATTTCCCTGCAACAAGAAATGTTTGTTTTAAAGCATTGTTATATGTTTTACTGAATAAATCAGTCTGGTAAATTGTCATATCCACACATATACAATTAATTCCTTAAGAAGGGCACAACACTAAATGGTTTGTTGAGATCTCTTTCTTGAAGCATGATTACATGAATGAGTCAATCATTTTTATGAATAAGTATACATATTCACATCGTAACTCCATGGCTTTAAAATATAAAAGATTATACTTATACAAAGAATTGTCAATAAAACAAACACAGAGTTAGCAAAAATTTAAACACTCATTTCATTTCCCTTTCAGCTATCAATAAATAATTCACAAGCATTAATATTATAAAAGTATTTACCATGTGCTTGGAATCTGCTGCTGTTTGACTGCAGCAGAAGAGTGAGATTCTGGCTGTTCATGTCCAGGTGTAGTCTCATGCTCATTTCTCGTTTTAACTTGGATTCAGGTGTATCAAATACAAGACTTACAACAGTCACATTCTCCTGAAAATAAATTACACACAGTAATTATTCTTTCAGACCATTTCTACCACTGCCTTAGCACAAATGTACATATAACGGAAAATACAATCTCCAAAGGGAACGTAATTCTGCCCCAGACAAAAACTGATGGTGTGAATAATGTCACTCAGTGGATGAAATAAACATTAATTTAAAGAAAAAGTACATGTGATCGGTTACAAGCATTAATGAAACATTTTGTGTATGTTAATCTACTTACTCCATGGAGATGTATTTTCAAGCCAGAATGTCCAAAATAATAAGCAATATTAATCAAACATGTAGTCATTCTGTTGCATGTGGGAGTGATTGCTGGACTTGCAAAGAAATTAGATTATGACCTGGTCATAATACTTTCAGAAATATTTACTTACTGAATACGCTTAATAGAATTACTGTTGTGTACAAAGTATTATACACATAGTTTGGACACTGGTGTTAACTGAAACAACATTCTCCTATAAAATTAGATTTGACTAGCTTGGTGAAAATGA